TTCATAATGTTTTATTCCATTATAGTATTTTGTGTATGCTGATTTATTTTCCAGTTCTTCACTGGTGTCATCATTCTTGTACAATGTAAGTAGTTTCTGTTTGTTACTTCTGCATTCCCTTTCGGATTTCTTGAATACGTATTACAAATTTCACATTTGTGGCGCTAACCAAAGAATTTATATTTAGTTTTTGTTCCACAATTAGCAGCGCATTTTTTTGATATCCCGGTTGTTTCAAATTCGACTCTCACCACTGAGATCGTAAGCAGTTAAAGAGACAGGGTAGTTCAAATTGGGGCAAATTGACGTTATGTTTTGTACTTCATATTTTGGAGTCTCATCATTGTTGCTTCGTTTTCTAGTTCAAAATTTCGCCTTTCAACTATGTAACTTGAGGCGAACTTCAAATAACTTGTACTTTCCTTTTAACTAAATGTAGTAATAGATATTTTAATAGCGCTTTATTTACGATACAGGCTAGAAACACCAAAAGGGATGCAAGAATCGATACCGCTGATTTTAAATTAAAAAAAAAAAACCTGATTTGAGCGGAGCCGGTAGCCCTACTGCTAAGCGAGTTAATCCGACAGTTGATGCAAATGAAAGAAATGCATCAGATTTAAACCAATTTCGGGTTAATTTTTAGTTCCGATTCCCTATGGTTAAATGCGGATTTTTTGACTTGACTAATAAAACAAAGCTTTTAAATCTCGCTGGTTCAAATTCGGTTTTACTTGGTCGTTTGAACTACTGTGATTAATTAAAAGCTTGCATATAACAAAGTCTCTACACATTTCTAAATGTTTTTTTTCCAATATGGGTTTTAACTCGGTTTTAACTGATACAGAAAGAACAGAAGAGAGTTAACTCAACCCAACAAACTGAACTAAGTTAGCATGTAGACGAATGGAAGAATTTGGTCGTAACAGCTGCCGATTGAAGCTGCATTATATAAACATATGTTACCCGGCCTAAACATCGCCCGCTGCCAGGTATAAAGGAAATCATTAATTGTAATTCATGTGACATGACCATAAGTTCATCAGCGATTATTGAATGCTGTAATCTTGTTTCACATGGCGACTTTATGCAATGTAAATACTGGTCATGATCGCGCATACAATCAGCCATCCGCACGTAAACACCATCTAAAGCAATCAAATTAATAAAATTGGAATTATGTCTCGTTTGGTCTCTGGGGATCCCAGATTGAACAATTAGGTCGTGATTAGATTATATTCGCATGTATGTACGACAGTTTCGTGGATATAATTATTTAAAACGGCGAATGCGGATTACCTGTATTTGCTATACAAGGTGCTTCACGATAAGTGTTCTATTAAAAGTTTTTGAAAACTTAAAAATTAACACTGCACCTGTTCAAACATTTCCAAAACATAACGGATTATGAGTATATACCGGAAACATAAAAGTTCCCTTTCTTAGTAATTCAGAACTTTTAGTAGGACGCTTTTATAGGTAATAGCGGGTGGGCTTGTAATTGCATGAGGTATAAACATATGAATTTAAGAAAAATTAGTTTTCCATCACAATTCGATTATGATTAAAATTAGTTGTTAAGTGTGTTAAATCTCGTACGCACACATAATTTAATGTTTACCAGTGCATCCGTAAGGGACTTGTTCGAAATACTTATAAAAAAAGTGTAATACGGCACTTGTTTTTTAAAAAATAAAATTGTTTTAAAAATTTTCCTTAATCATGTTTGACTATGTTATATTGACGTAAAGTCTTTGAGGATATCACTAGAATTTTTTTAAAAAGCATTTAGCAAACATTTAGAGAGTTTCTTCGATGCTCAAAATATGATGGTAATAAAATTTCAAATAAAAGATATATTTTATTAAATTTAACACTGTCAATCTCAGCAAACAATAAATTTAAGTGATATGTCTACATAAACATTAAATCGCAGAGACTGCCATCACTCTCAGTGTTTGCCACCAAACACCACACCATAACATCAAAAGTCTGATTATATTTTCGGTGAAAAAATAATATTTTGTAATCATATTTTATGAGAATAATCTTTATTCTCTACATGTCAGGTTCTTTTTTGTAAGACTGTTTTGTTTTAAATTAATAATAATATAATAAATAATAACCGGTAGGTATAAGGAATTACACAACAATACGACGTCGTACAATGTGTTATTTTGGCCACACAGAAAATGATTGTAATAAACAAGATTAAACTTTAATAATTAAGCTCTACTTTCAGTTAACCTTTATTATAACGCAATTATAACGTTCAACAATAGCATTAAAACTTTACCGTGTAAAGCCAGCAATTCCAACAGGAACATACAAAGGACATACGGCTGAAGAATCAAACGGAATGAACCCTTTTATATGAAGCAATTAAATTTTGAGTTAAACAAAATAATTTCAAAACACCGGTGTGGAAGTATGTTTTCGGTTTTATAAGCCATGCCAAAACTCATTTTGTTTTCCAGAAACCTCGCTTTTTGATTCACGAATATCACTGCATATTGACCTCAGAATTTAAATAGGTCAGCGGGAAAGATAAACTTCACGTTGTCTTTTGGTTTACCTGCTAGTTCGACAACCAGCTTGAGAGCTTGATTAATAATAAAATAATGAAATGAAATTATTTCAATGTTTTAATAACAATAAATGAACATGGAATTTGCTGAAATTTTTTAAAATTCTCCTTTTTCACATTGATAATTATCTTGATCTTGATCCTGATTATTTTCAGAGTACCAGTTGATATATATTTTCGAAATTTGACTGTGTGCAATAATATGAGAAACCAACTAAACCTTTAATGCATCCTTTGTTTTTAACAGGATTTTAAAGGCAACATGCAAAATTAAATGACATTGATGATAAAATTTAACATTTTTCTGGTTCCACCTTATATAAGGACCGTGGTGCCACTAAGTACGAACAGTTATAGTTAAGAAGAAGAAGAAGAAGAAGTATCGTGGGAGCTGAAAATGGGAAATAAGAGGTCACAGCAACCGCATCAGACTGAAAGTCAAAGCCAAATGGTTAGACCTTAGAGACTAATCTCGACGTCCGATGGGGAGCTATAAGACAAGGCCTGAGTCGGGGTTAATATTGTTAGGTTGCTTATAGATTTTTCTTATAAGGGTCAAATTTTTGGACAAACGCCGGAACAAAACCAAAATTATAGAAACGCTACACCGATGGTACTTTTGTTATTTGGCTTCATGGTCAAGAATTCCTGGTAGATTTTCATTTAAACTCTATACATCCTAACATCCTACTATTGAAATAAAAACTAGTAACAACCTCCCATTCTTAGATATTCGATATTAGATAGAAAATCAGACCTAACACTTGGTCATTGTATTTACAGAAAACCTACGCACACAGACCGATGCCTTAATGCATTGTTACATCATCATCTGGCCCAAAAATCATCGGTTATCAACTCTCTTGTTTACAGGGCCGTAAAAATATCTCAGCCGGAGTTATCGAACCCAGAATTAAAACACCGTGCTTCTGCTCTTCTCTCGAATAATTTCCACATTAGAGATATTAAGCGTTCCATCAGAAAATACACTTCACAGCAATCCCAATACTTGCCACTGATGTCCTTCCTTACATTCAAAACATAACTGACCATATATATATATATATATATATATATATATATATATATATATATATATATATATATATATATATATATATATATATATATATATATATATATATATATATATATATATATATATATATATATATATATATATATATATATATATATATATATATATATATATATATATATATATATATATATATATATATATATATATATATATATATATATATATATATATACATTTCAAAAGAAATATAAACATCACAACATATTACATCAAAAACAGATTTACCACTTGTCCAAAAATGGTTCAACATCTTCAATCTGTCAAGAACAAAATTCCATTTCAGATGCGGCATGGATATACGGCAAAGAATACATTGGAGAGACAGGAAGAGAAATATCAACTAAGCTCAAGGAACATGAAAGAGCCTTAATATTAAGACAAATAAACTCATCAGCAGTGGCCGAACACAAGAGAGTGTATAGAAATCTATAAGCAACCTAACAATCTTAACTGCGATCCAGGTCTTCAACTGTCACCAATATGGGAATCAGTCATTCGAGAAGGTGTTTATGCCTCTCATTTAGCTCCTCCCCCCTCAAATAATATAAAAGCAGGGATAGACTAAACCGAGAGCCGGTTTCACTCAAGCTCTGAAAAAGGCAACAGGATGATTGGTGAAACGTTAGCTAGTTCTACTTAATACAAACCGACGCAGGAAAAATCCAAACATTAACACAAAATCCCACCCAGGTATTCCCTAGAAAATAAAAAGTTTTTTCGGAATTTCATACGAACAATCTGCATCTGTTTCGATATTTTTTCTTCACTTTTTAAGCCTCATTAATGAAACCTGAGTTTTTTAGTGCAATTGACTACACTTACATAAATATTTCAAAATTTATTGACGTGCAAATAATTTTTATTGTCATTGTTGTCAAGCCTTTTGTAATGCTTTATTTTTGCTCAGAGAATAAATGTGGTTATTATTAATTAAATTTTTATATATTCATATTTTGTTAGAAATGTGCTTTTACTTCGAAAAACGTACCTACCTACCTACAAATTTTAATAAATTAAATAATTAATTTAGAATAAAGTCTGTTTCAGCCTTCGAAAACCACGAATAGTCAAATACTTAGCAAAAATGATGAGACAGTGACAGCGGAGAGAAAATTGCAGATATAGAGTATATCCCAATTTACACATCACGCTACTATAGATACCAGCGGCAATACTGCGATACTAGAAATATTTTATATCGATAGAGGCGAATCAAGAGCTTACGTGACCAAAACGTCTAATGTCGGGCGACGTGTCGTTTGTTTAGCTATTTGTTTTTAAATTACGTTAGCTCATATGCACAAACGTTACCTTCTGGTACGGCACTGGAAGTTAATAGGAAATTGACGCAGGCTGCGCCCGTTCCATGACCCAGCAACGTAACGTTGGTGGGATCTCCGCCGAAGAACGCTATATTTTCCTGAATCCAGTGTAGCGCAGCTATCTGATCCATTAGGCCGTAATTGGCCGGGCTTTTCGAGTAAGGGTCTGTGTTGGCATTTAGAAACCCTGTAACGAACGAACAAAATGCACCGTTAATAAGAGACTCCGTACGTAAAGATAAAATTGAGTTTAAGATATAATGTGACGCTCGCAAAATGTTCGCAGACATTTTCCGAGAATGAAATTCGTTTGCGAACGTAAAACGATTTTCGTCGAGTTTTCTTCTATTAATTTGTGAAATTATAGAACAGTAATAACTCAATAACTCATCTTGATTTTATTCCATCAAAATTAGCAAATTTAGGAACTGTGCTATATCTACTTCATTATTTCATTTCATTCATTTCATTATTTTTTTAATGCACCTCAAAAGTGTTTAAGTGTATTTTTTTTAATAAAAGATAAATGCATAGTTTGCATATTTTAAAAACTCAAGAACTATTAAAGTTAATGATAGCCCAATACTTTTTGACCCAAATTGGTATAATAAAGTTTCCATCTTCTAAAAGGTATTCCAATAACAGGTTTCCAATGTTGGTAATGAATAAAATAAGTTTCATACCATACCAAAATTGTAATTAATGCAGTGCGTAGCTGGATAGTGTACAATTAATTATACGTGGAACACAATATCTGCCAAATGGCAACTAGAACTTTTCTGAGAGCACACAATTCTTTTGTCCAAGTTTTCCATTAATGCTGAACACATTTCTTGATGTATGTCACAAATTATTAGCCTTTCTTGTTTCAATTTTTGAATGATTTGCGGATTATTTTCGTATGTTTTGTTTTTCGCATAGTCCCACACAAAATAATCTAGGGGCGTCAAATCGCGTAATCTTGGGGCCAATTTACGTCTCCATTCGTGGAGATAAGCCCCCTCCAAACTGTGTGCGCAATAAATTTACTGTTTCATCTTGTTGAACCTACATATTCTCCATATCCATGTCCATTATTTCATCCCATAAAAAACATCAATCACCTTTCAGTATCCTTCTCCATTTACTGCCACTTTTACTCCAAAACAGCTTACTCGTCTTCTCAATCCAAAAACCGCACCAAACTGTGACAAGTTGAGCATGCATGGGGATTTCGTGAACCTCGTCACTAAAAATGATTTTATTGCAGAAATTATTGTCATTTTCCTTAATGATCGGCTGGTTTTAGCTCCTGTGTTAGTTGAATTTTGCAAGGACGTAGACCTAAAACTTTTTTCAAAATTCACCATGTTGAAGTTCGGCGAATACTCAAATGGTGTGCGCTCCCTTTAACACACATGAGGATTTTCAGCCGCACTTTCAGGAACGAGCAAGACGTTCCCGGATTTTTATTTGGATATCTTCCACAGATCCAGTAGTTTTGAATTTCTGCACTATTTTGTCAATGGTTACTTCTGAAGGACGATTGCTAACACCAAAGTATTCACGAATTCGGCGAATTCGTGAAGACCCATTTTGTAAACACGTTGTTCTACTCCATTGATAAAATTACCCTGAATTGCACAATAAAATAAAAACCTAATAACTTAGAGGTTTGAGACAAAAAGAGTAGCAAAGAAGCATATTAAACATCTCTTATTGGAATACCCATCATATAATCACGAGGAATAGCGAATTTCTTACAATTTTTTTTTAATTTTTTCGACATTGTCTACATCATATATGTTTGGTAAAGAATATACCCGCCAAATCAGTAAGACAAGTATTACAGTGTATTACAGAGGCTCATTTCATTTACTCATGATTATATATCAATAAATCCTTTCAGCACTCCAAAACTTAGGAAAACGCAATACCTTATTGCTATTCGTTTAAGGTACCACACCACTTATACAAACTTCCGTACGCTCGTTTCGCTAAGTAAGCATGATCGACAGGTGCTATAAATTGTGATATGTTTATATACAGGATGTCCGATTAATGACATATGTAGAAAAAATTGTAAATAAACTACGAAACTGCCAGCAGTTGTCTCCAATTAAGTTTGAAACGGTCTTGAGCAATCGGTAAATTATAGCCACAAATATGACTTAAACGTTTGTAAATTCGGATGGTTAGGTTAGATGGTTAGTGCTGCTCCAAAAAGTAATGGTCGCAGAAAAAGTCTAGCATGTAACACTTTCGTAAACTTCAGTCATTCGTTTATTAAACACTCGATACGCTCTGCAAGTGCCTAATCAAACTCGTGACTGAAATGGAGTTTACCAAACTTGCATAATCTACTAGTAAATAGTATCGATTAGATAGTTCTCAAAACCATTGTCACTCTGATAGAAAAACCAAACTAAACGCGTTACTTTGGCTATTACATGGTCGAGTGTTTCCATCCGGACGTATATACTCTCCACCATTTACGCAAAGTAAAAACTAACAGATTACACCATCTGGTGCAAATTGGCATCTCGCAGGCATTAGCATAGCGTAGAGCGTTGAGACTTTGCCGTAAAAAGCGCAGCAATATTGTCGTTCGACCTGCAGCTGTACGATATGTCGGGATTGTATAAAAGCGTATGCAAATCGGACATTACTGTTATTAGGCAAACCTGTGGCCATGTAAATGGTAATGGTAGGCAAATCTGTCGATTGAACATGCCAACGTCCTAGTTTGTTTGAGTGAATTAAATTCTGTACGAAATTCGCCTAAACATGAAATAATCCATTCTTATAATGTGTAGGTAATTGAAGTGCAACCGAATAGCATTTTTGAAAATAACATATCAATACAAAAATTTTATCGATACTGCTGTACGTATAACAATTCAGGAGACCTAAAAATAGTTCATATGGGTTCTGAAAGTACAGGTTGATTTACCAGTTAGTATCAGTTGATCAAAACTTAATTCTATTCCTGATGAGGATTAACCAAAATTTGAGTAATTGGTTTACTACATTTTGACTTCTTTTTATATAAATATTAAGTAAAATAGCAAAATAATTTAAAGGAAATTTAATATTATTTTAGAATTTTATATAATATATTATTTGAAAAGATTTGATCATTTTTGTTTATGACGTCAGAACCATTAATTTCAAACGACTTTGTAGAAAAATGAATAAATTTATATAGGGACTTTCGCAAACTGTTCACTGTGCAAATGGCAGCAAAGTTAAAATTTTAGTAAAACCATATTTTAGATTAAAAAAACATTGAAAATAATTCCTATTTCGAAAAAGCATTAGGTAAGTTTAGGAAGGTGTTAAGGAAAGAATGCAGTGAATCTGAGAATGTAGAATATGGATGTGCCTTTTAATATTTTTTCAAAGAAACTCTATTTTCAGTTTTCTGTAGAGGTCTAACCTACCATCGACCACCAACCCGGTATAGAGGCCCTGCCTATACTGATAATACAGGCACTTTTAAATCAACCATGAAGAAAATTGTTGAGAAGTGCCACTCAATTACTAAAATGTCATTTTCAACTAATGAGACCTGTTACTTCAAATCTCGCTTTCAACCAACATGGCCGCTGGCAACTCGTCAATTCGACAGTTTTCAGTTTGAATATGGCATTTTTGCTGCAATATTTTTTCAATATACCCTGTTTTATTTGTATCTCATTAAGTTTTTATCTAAAAAAAAACTAGTACGTAGAGATCGCTGTTTAGAAGGAAATATCGCTGTGCACGTTAGTGTTTGAAATTTAGAGGATTTATGGAAAATTATTCACTTCTCTACGAAAATGGCAAAGCCACCTGGGACGCATCAATTTTGTCCAACCATTACCTAATAGCTAGAAACTAATAAAGAAATAGAAATATCCATTCGTCTTACGGAATGTGGATTTCAAGAGAAATATTCAAAATTGTTGTCCGGCAATGGTTTTAGAATATCAACTACATGTCACTAGTTCAATCTACTTCGGGGATGTCCTTTTAGCAACTGTCATTCCTTTTTTCTGCTTTTCCTCCTACATAAGTCACACAGACAAAATGTTGTTTCAAAAAAGGGAAGTTAATGGGTACCTATCTAAACAAAATAGAATGTTTGTGTATTTGGATATTTCAAAAAAATAACTGAAAAAGCATTGTTACTTTAATTCTCCATTTACTTGCTTACTTTCAAATAAAATTTGCAAATATGTGATCTAAGTAGAAGTGTTTTTTTCAATAGAAGTTCATCTGGGAAATATTATTTAGTCTGACTGGTACTGCCGATAAGCATTTCCATGGTGGATTTGGAACACCACATATTAGACATTTTACGTGTTTGTATGTATGTATATAATTTGAAGAAGCATGTATTTGTAAAATTTTCTAGATACAGAATTTTGAGAGCGTCGCCAACCAACTTTGTTCAGCTTACAGGGCAATATTCAATGTTTCCCGTTTTCCGCATTTTTTTGGTTTGAATATGGCGGAAATATTAGCCTCAGTTTTTTTCCGAAAATGTCACGTTTTCATAAACATTTGGAAGAATTGGAATAAACTTTACAGAAAGTTGCAGATGGCTCAATCAAAAATGAGAAACGCCTCTGATAGCTCGAAAGTACCATAGACACGTTATAGAATAAATGCAAGGGCCTACATGGAAAGTCATCTGGTTACTTTAAAATTAAACTTAAACTTTGAAATTCCCAGACAGCAAAAAAAGCTGGAGGAGGAATAATAAATCAGTGTTAATGGGGAACAGAACGTTTGAGCAGAGTTTTCCGTAACAAAGGGGAAGAATTATCAATGTGTGTGTCGTCAAGAGTCGACAAATAATGGCAAAAGGCGTGAAATACCTTTGCAAAAGCAAAAAACTTGTCCTTCATGAAATCTTAGCGAAATGTTTTCAATCAGCTTCGCGCAGATATTTTAATATATTAATAACTTCATGATTAGTAAGGAGTGTTTTTTTTCGATGTATAGAACTTTAAGTTGCAATAAAACAACGATGGATTATTAGATTGACATGAGTTTTATTTATCCGAAAGATAATCTTGTGGCATTACATTTTAAATATGATTTCTGGCATATGACCGCCACGGCTGGCGCGGATGTAGTCCAATCTAGACGTCCAATTTTCGATGACTTTTTAAAACATTTGTGGCCGTATATCGGCAATAACACGGCGAATGTTGTCTT